TGTGCTGGATGCAAATGGCCACATCGACAGTGGGAACCCTGACTGAACAAGATTCGCACGTGCTCCCTCCAACAGATGTCTGATTTCCCTTTCCACGAAAGATTTGGAAGAATCAACATATTCAATGGAGGTCTGATGACGGTACCCCAACTGCTCTATTGCGGCTTTCAATTCCCGGGAGTTATCGGTGTAGAGAACCTCAACCTCATCCCTACCGGAAATGAAATGCTGGATCCCTGCAACGGATTGCTCCGTGCTTTTGCTGGTCGACGGGTAAACGTACCTGAACTGCGTATGCACGTCCTTGATCACAAGGGCACACCATTCACCTTTGATACCTTGCTCGATGTTGGTCTTGAGAATCACATGATCAGCAATGATGTGATCTCCAAACGCTTTCGTCTCGAGCCTTCCCTGCCCGCCCTTCGATCTTGCATATGGGGCAAGCATCTTGGCACGTTGGCAAGTGCGGCAAAAGGGATTCTTCGGATAGTGTGCAAACAAGTGCTCTTTGGTACTCGCTTCGGCAACCAGATCTTGCTCTTTGCGGGATCTCACAAACCGCTCAACTTCGTCGTCGGGGTCATCGCCTTCATCGATGCCTTCGTCATGAACCGGTGCAGGCGCTGGCTTGGATGCTGCTACTGCACTCAACAATGGCTCGGCTTCACAGCTAGAATCCATGTATGGCACATGACCGTCAACCTTGAGCTGGATCAGAGCACCATCAGGGCGAACCATGCAGGAGAACTCTCGAGGATGTAAGACATTGATGTCGGCGATTTCGGAAGCAGTGATGTTTCCGTTTGCAGTCACAAGGCGAATAGGCTGAGGAGCCTGTTTCCGAATTGCCTTGGACGCATTCCTCAGTGCAGCTTTGCTGATGAGGTCCTGCTCACTACCGGAATCAATAAGCCACACATCCTTTCCCTTTGGTGCAGGGGTGGCTGCCCTTGGCGCTTCGACATCCTTGCGGACATCGTGAGGCGGCATGGCAATTCTCAGGCACTCATCACATGACAGGCTTGAGATGGAATCGGATTCCACATCACACATGAAACCACAAGCGGGCTGGGCTCCATTCTCAATGGCTTTGATTACGGCATTCAACTGGTTCGCGGCCTTGCGTGCTGCCTTGTTCGTCCCTTTGGTCGGCCTGGGGCAGTCCTTGGCATTTGGAAACATCCTGTTATACTGCCGTTCCTCGTACTCAAGCTTGAAACCATCGCCTTCGGCGGGGATCTCATGCACATGAGCATTGGTGTCAAACGACACCCCAATCGGATTGATCGGCTTGGCAAACATGGCGTACCTAGTGCATACTGCGGCGGCTTTGGCCTTGGGCTTAATTAGGCTTAGGCGAATTTGCACGCCTCTTGGCCGCAGGATTTGCGTTGGCCTCGTTGCTCGATGCCGCGGCGGCAGATTTGCCGCCCGTGGAGGCATGGCTAAACTTGCATTTGTCACCTCTAGTGCACTTCCCTTGGGCAAAGAAAGAACACGGTGCTTTCTCTCCTTTATTGCCTTTGGGGGAACTTGGCCTGCCACGGGTCGCGGAGCGTCCTCGCGGCTCTTTGCGGTGCGCATAAGGGCAGTTTGCCCCCCTCGTGCACGAGCCCTTCTGGAAGTCAAAGCAGTACTTTTCCTCGGTGTCCTTCGGCTTAGGTGCGCTCTTTTTCTTGGGGTCCCTCTTTTCAGGGGCGGCGGCACCAGCCTTGGGCGTCGGGGCTTTACTGGCATTGACTTTGGACACGCGCTCTCGGTTCTCGCGAAGCCTATCCCTCTCGATTAGATCCCTCATGCAACGCATTAGGAAATCGTACGATTTGTTGGGATCATCATCACGGCAACGATCATATGTGTCGATGTCGTACCGCAACAGATGGCAGCTTCTCACTTGGCGAAGCAAGATGTCTTTCAACACCTTTTCTTCCGGCGGCCTTTTCATGCCGGCGATCACGGAATCCCAAGCGTTTAGGAAACGTTTGAGATCAATGATTCCTTCGCCGTGTCGCGAGACACGCAACAGGTCCTCCAAGGAGTAGAGGTTTCCGGCTTCTTCACTGGTCTTGAAATATTGGTCAAACATAAACAGGACCTGCCTTCCTCTCATGGCCTTTCCCTCCTTGACACATTCTTCCTTCGCTGTTAGGATTCGCTGAGCCAGATCGCCTTTCGCTGAACGCGTGAGCGCTGCGAGAATCTTCGTGTCTAGGGTCACGAATTTTCCCGGTTCGCCGAGCTCCTCCAACAGCTTCTTCTTGTCCTCGCGATCGGACCAGACTTCCATGATCCAAGGCCAAGCCTCGTCTGGACGGTCAGATGCAGCGCGGACGCCCTCACGAACCGATTGCTTCCATTCACGGTACGTTTCAGGAGTTGGCATCTCCTTGAATCGCAACGTCTCGCTTTCGCGGGTTCTGGGCTTTTCATCGTTCGTGTGGCCTTTTACTAACTTCATCAACATTTTGGCGAATGCTTCTTGGCCGAGGTTAGGCCCGAGGCCATCACCTTCGTCTTCATCACCATCGCCATCGCCATCATCATCAGGTGGCGGACCGCCGGGAGGCTTACCACCCTGCTTGCGGTCATTTGACATTGGCCCCTGAGAGAATTGCAGGGGTGGGACCGGTGCACTTGTTTTCACCGGGGATCGGCTGCTACCTGATGGCTTTTCAGCTGGTCCTTGCGGATCGCGAGCATCTGCGGGCAGTGCTTCGCATTCGGCAGTTGGAATCACGCTAGGGGTATATTCAACCCCGTAACCGTCATAGGTAACAAGCGACCTCAACTTTTCCTTTGCATATTGAAATGGATGGGACAACGGGTCCAACATTGACCTTTGGGACCGAGCTGACTTCATGTCGTCGGTCATCAACTCTGGTGAATCCTCTCGGGTATCACCTACCCCTTTGGGCTTCGATCCATCCTCGCGGAGGTCGTGTTGCTTCTGATACCTCTTCAGCTCATCGAGCTCGTCCTGCAGAAGCCCGTTTTGGTGGGCCATCATGTCAATCGTCCTGGCGTTTTTCGCTTCAACACGGGCTGTGTCATCGGCGTGCTTGGCAGCTTGCTCATGAAGGAGCTGCTGGGCTTCCGCCAGGGTGGATTCGATGGCTTGCCTAAACTCAGTTGTTTTGTGTCCCATTTCCGCTTCATGCAATGCTTGGGCATTTTCCTCACACACTTGGCTTATCCTAGCTTCAGCGAAGTTCACTTCTTGAATGAACTCATCGCTCACTCGCTGTTCGTATTCACGAATTCTATGCGACTGGGCTTGCACACATTCAGCGTAGTGTGCATGCAGCTGATTCTGTGCGACACGGAGCTCCTCACGGTTTTCCGCTTGCAAATGCGTGACAGCTGCTTGATGCAGGGCTTCGGCTTCAGACCTAATGGCTGCATCATTCCCAAAAGCAAAGATTGCGGTATTGTACAGTTGAAGGGAATTCATCAGGGTGCGGTTGTACTGCGCATTAGCGCTTGATGCGAACATTCGCACACCGCCGCCGGTGGCGTTGTCGGAGCTAGCTCCGGCAGCATCCACAGGCATGTTGGATCCATCAACTGGCACAAGGGAACCGTCCATTGCTTAGAGCTAGGGGCCTACGGCTGATAACCTATAGATTCAAGGGTTACCGGTTTGGGGCCCAAAAGGAAACAACAAACCGTCCAAGTGCGCTGCTCGCACATTTTCACGCTTGAACAGCCACACTGCGGATGCAATGGATGTAAAACCCCATACTGACCGATCAAATTCTTCAGTTTGCAAGGATCATGGAGACTCGAGGTAGTTGTATATGTGTTTTTCAGGCAATGGCCTAAGGAAGATGAAAGGCATAAGCCCGCATGGCCGCTAAACTTTCTCTAAAGATGGTTCGATGGGGGGGGGGGCATCCTCTAAAAACGCGGCTTAGGGTAACACCTGCAGGGTCTGCACATGTGTATCATTTTGCTTTTATCAGGTTGCCAAACGACTTGAAATGCATAATGATGTTCTCCAAAGCAACGAAACCACTCAACCGTGTGCTTCTTGCGCGTTGGAAAAGCATGGCGAAGCGGAAATTCAACATGCTTAGATCGCGGCCTATCGGCAGAGTGTTCATCCAGTGGGGACCTAAATGCCACCGATGGGGCTTGGTTCTTGCATTCCAGCCAAGGATGTCCCAACTCAACCAACAAAAAAGCCCCCTCCTGCCTTCTCATGTGCCTCCTTGAACCTCCCCAGCACCTTCCTCGCAACTCCTTGCCCCCCGGATGGGCAAAACCCCCATCCTGCCCCGTCGGAAGGACATCACAAGAGTTTTGAGAACAGCCCTGATCCCTTCTTGCAAAACCCCGAGCGGAGGGTTAGGAAGTTCCCAAAGCATGGGGAAAATGGGGAGAACAAAAAGAAGTTTCAGGCAAAAAACGAAATAGGAGTTGCTCAAAAGGCCCTTTACATGGGACCAGGGAAAAAGCACCGGAAAAAGATATGACTTTTGCCAGTTGCGAAAAGTTACCCAATGTCATTTGGGGGCCGGGACTTGGTTGCTGTTGACCCTTGTAAAAAAGGCTTCACTGTTTGTGGGTCCAATACGGAAAATCCCACGTTTCAACCAGAAAGTTAAAAATGGCCCAACCTAGCGATTCCCTCAAAGGAAACCAAAGCGGATGGTATAGGGATCATTCCCTCCTTCCTTGAGCACCAGCAAGTCATTTGGGGGCCGAAGGGAACATTTTGACCAACCCTCCAAAATCCCACCTGTTTCAACCAGACAGTTAAAGTCCAAAGATCCGCAACCGAACAGCACACAAAGAGGAATATTGACCAACCCCCCCCCGCCACAAAAAAAAGAACATAAGAAAGGTAACAAGTCCAAGAAAGGTAACTCAATAATATTGACCCACCCACCCAAAAAAAAAGGGCAAACAAGTCCAAGAAAGGCAACTTAAGAATATTGACCACATTTGACCCCCCCCCCAACCAACAAAAAAAAAGCTGGCCAGACCCCCCGCGCCTCTGGATTTTCAGGCCCGCGAAGTCCCGTTGCACCTCCACCAGGGGCTGCCAGGGGCCACTGAGCGCGGCGGTCTCCAGGACGTAGGCCTCGGATCGTGTTCCGCGCGAGCCTGGGACTTCAGATGGCGGTGGCTCAAAATGAAACGAGCGGAGCGGCCCATTCCGCAGGTTTTGGTCCATGTTTCCTGTTTCCACTTAGGGCAACCCAGTTTTGGTACATTTATTCGAGCCCCAGATGGCACCAAGATGGCTTGGGTTGGACCATCTTCCTTTCAGGTGGGACCCCTTGTCAGGTTCCATGTTGATGGGGAACCTTCTTTTTTTCACGCTCCAAACCATTTTTTGCAACCCTTTAACCTTGCCCCCCCTCTAGTGGGAGGGTACCCCCAATTTCAGTCCGCCTTCTCCAAACAAGCGTGGAAGGGTAAAGAAAATCAAACACCCACTAAAACAAAGGGGGTTAGCATGACCATTATTTCCTACGGAGGTTCATCCACATTGGATCGCCCATTCTTTCCAAATTCACTTTTCGTGGATTAACTTTTAAATGGAAACTGCCACTAAACACTAAAAACGCTAAAAGGCTAAGGAACCGGATGGCTGGGAGCCACCAAGGGTGGGGTCCCCCCAACAACTCCTCGCTGCGAGCGCTCGAATGGCTTGCTCGCCTTGGCGTAGGCCGTCTCAAAGTCCAACACCACCCGGCTGAGCCGATGAGAAGTTTCCAGGTCGATGGCCAGCCAATGCTCCCCTCGCGGAAAAACGACCAGTAGTGACAGATTCCCTTTAAAACCAGAGGGGAAAACAAAACATGTTCTTAATCAAATGGAAGAAAATAAACATAGGTGTCCTTTTAGGGGAAATAGATGGCCCTGGTAGATGATGAAAAACCACCAGGTAGAAAAGGAATCGCCATCTATGTGTCTAGCAAAACAACCAAAAAGGACGCCTATGACCACGCCACTGTCAAGGGTAGCTCCAAGCATAGGTTTTGGAGGTGCATAAGCTAAAGGAATAAGTAGTGTTTCAGGAAAATGGCATGCAGGTCATGCTGATGTAGATGTTACTAAATGTAGTATCAAGAAAGGTACATGTTTTGCTTACGAATACACATGCGCACTTGGGCATTGGTGTAAACATGTGTTGTATTGGTCTAGTACAACATGTTTCAGTACCTGGCCAGGTAGCCCAAAACCCCTTTAGTGGTTGATATAACCTCCGGACCTGCAAAAGTCATACCCGAAACTGCTCGAACTGGGTATGTTCAAAGATCAATTCTCCAGTGTCGGGTGAGCACTCTGGGTCCACTCCAAACCTTCCCTTAAGGACCGAAACGAGAAAGGGGTGTGCTTGATATTTTAGGGTGGACTGAATATGGGGGTGTCGTCGTTTGGAGTTGGTACGAAACAAAACCATCAGAGGACCCTGCAAGACACACCCATCATATGAGGCCAGAATCTGACAACGTGGCTTTCCATCGTTCCAGTCCATGGTCCACTTGGAAGATGGGGGAGCTCACCAAATGCCCAACAAACACCAGGGAACTTGAAACGTCACGTTCCGGGCGCTTCTAGGACATGGAGAAGAAGTAGTTTTGACCATAGCACATATGGGCTCATATGGGTGTAAATCTCAAGAGGGGCTTCCATTTGCTTAAGTCCACTGGACAAAGTAATAATATTTTCAGTAGTGACGGATTCCCTTTAAAACCAGCAGGGGAAAATAAAGCATGTTCTTAAGCAAATGGAAGGAGGAATATCAGGAACCCTGGACATCGGTGTTTCAGGGAAGACGTTAATGGCACCCTTGGGCATGGCCCCCAGAGGGTTCCCCTTTGGATTCCGGTGCAAGCAGCCCCCCCCCCCCGACGACAAACAAAACGCGAAATCTTGCTAATGCACCTTGCAACACTTTGACATTCTTTGACATTTCGGCAAAGATCTCGTCACAAATAATGAGATGTCTCGTGTCTAGAGAGCAAAGTCATCAGCCCCCCCCCCCCCACATATACAGCTGCTTCAACCATGGACACTGATGGGAGTAGTCCCACAAAAACAGGGTCGGCGGATTTCCCAAATTCTCATCGACAAGCTGCAATTCGCCGGCAACTTGCATCCAACATGTCCTGGGTTGTCGAAATCCCAAAGTTAAGCCCCCATTCCGGGATGCCAAAGAGGAGTCTGGGAAAGCTGAGAAAAATGATTCTCCAACTTATTGCTTGGTCTGCGTTTTAGGACAATGATTTTGAACAACTTACTATCTAGGGCCTCCAGTAGAGAGGCTAAAAGGGTACCCTTTTCTCTGCAGTCTATTTTAGTAGGGGAACCCTCCCCAAAAAAAGAACCGGTAAAAGGGCACTACTGGGGGACCGAGTTAGGATTGGTTTAGGGGACTGGAACGTACGTGTATCTGTATTGTATTTACTCAGGCCCATTTCGTGACTCTGAACATCTGCTTCACGATTCACCATTCCCAGAAACGCTGCCAGACTCTGACCATAGGCGTCTTTTTAGGGGAAATAGATGGCCCTGGTAGATGATCAAACCACCAGGTAGACCAGAGATCGCCATCTATTTTTCGACCAAAACAACCAAAAAGGACACCTATGTGCCAGACACCTCGCTCGGTTGCTTTCTGCTCCCCTGCTCAAGGATTATTTTCTAGTGGTTTAATCGGAAGACCAATTAGTTGGCAAAAAATGGTTCAGTCCTACATCCCTTGGCAAAATGCACCAAAGACTCAGGAAGCTCTGAAGAAACGAACTTCACCGTGCCAGTCTTCTCCGAGATGCCTGGCAAGGGCACGCCGGACATGCCTTTGGCGGCCTGCCAGCGGTCCTTCAACCAGTCCTGGCGGTCTGGCGGTCTGGCTGTCTCGCGGTGTGGCGGTCTGGCGAAGCGGTCGCCTTCTGTGTGTGTGTGTCGGTACCTGGAGTCTCCATGGCCCTTGAAAAATGGGGCGCATTACCCAAAATTAAGGTGGTTTGACCCCTTTCTCTAGGGTCATGGATACTCTAGGCACCTTTTTGAGGCACGTTGCAATGGGATCCGCATTTTCTTGGTTGACGTTGGAAGGGGAGCAAAAATTGAAACAACAGCTGTTAAGTGCACTGAACCACAATGTAAAATGTTTCCCAACAACAACCATGTTTTGTTCTGTAATTCCACAAGCTGAATTAAGAATTGGATCCCCAAGTACAGGACCTTTATCCTGGCACTCACTCGTTATACCACCGGATCGGTGAGCAAACGGATGGAATCCCACCAAAAGCGCCAGGTTCTGACTCTTCCTAAGCGACCGCTGGGGGGAGGGGAGCCCAGCTGCATTCCATCTTCCGGACAGGCTTGGCGAAGTGAGCGCCCTCGAAGTTTCGCTTTCGAAACTCTTGAGACATTTGGCTGTGGGTCAAAACCCAAATCGTAGCCCCAGTGAACATCCCAATCCCCACTAAAATAGGGTCTAAAATGGGTGGTGCACCTACGCCAAAATTGCACCATTGGTTTTAACCCACAGCCATTTGATTGGGGCGCTGAGAGGTACGCGTCCGGGAGTTCTTTGGGGAATGTGCGCTTCGGAACCACCATGGCAAAGTGAAAAGTCTTCTTTGGCACTCCAAAGATCCAGCTGGCGTTTCGAACAAAGACACACACCCAGGCACTGTTTCCACTTGGCCCGAGTCTTTTGTTCACCCCTTTTTGGTGGGTTTACAGGGCAACCTTTTGGACAACCACCAGTGTATGACATGTTATTGTTATTTGTTTATTTACTTGTATATGTTTTTTTTTGGGGGGGGCCTTAAGAAAAGACATCTTTTTATTCAGGCCATCCCTTTCTTGTGGGTTTCCCTTTGCGGGTTTCCCCGGGAAACCTAACCAAAAAAAAGGGGACTGACCCCACCCACCTATCACTTGACCCTTTTTATCTGTAGTCTACTTAGTAAGGGAACCCTCCCAACCAAAAAAGGGTGAGAAGGGGCACCTAGCTGGGGGACCTAGCAAATCACCCACCTCTTCGTTCGTCGAAAAACCTCCATTTGCTTAAGTCCCCTGGGAAAAATGAAAAAATATGTCCAGTAGTGAGATCGATTCCCTTTAAAACCAACCGGGGAAAAGAACAAATATTCCTAACCAAATGGAAGAAAAATCGCCGGACCTAGCGGTTTTCAAGAGAAATATCCTGCTGAGTTCCCTTTGTTGTTGGTTTTTTAGGGAAACCTAACGAACAAAAACGGGGGACCAAACCACCACCCACCTCTTCGATCGAAAAAATCGCCGCCGCCGCCGCCGCCGCCCGCCGCCCTCTCCTTGGGCGCCTCCTGACGCGTCACCACCTGGCCTGGCGCCAAGTTCCCAGCGACGTCGCTCTGCACCGGGCGGTTCAGCGACAGCTCCCGCTCCTGCGGGCGACCCGGCTTTTCGCTCCAGGGAGTCGAGGGCCATGTTTTTAAGAAAACAGACTAAAAAGGTCAGAGATGATAGAAACGACTACCCTTCCTCGCACTAACATGATGCATAGCATTTGTGGAGGGTACCTGGAAGATCAATTTCCTCTTCAAGGGACCCTGCCATGTTAGTTGGAGGGAAGATAACTTTTTTGGTGGCTACACCAACGAAACACCCGGAAAAAAAGGGGTGGAAAAAACGGAAAAACAAAACACATCAGGATCCTCAGTTCCCCTGCAAAAACCGTCGACTTTCTTTAGTGGATAAATCAACTCGAAACCCACAAAACCCGAGTCCCATTCGGGGAGGCTGGTCCAGGGGGCTGTCTAAAACTCAAGGAACCCTGCTTGAATGGGACTGCAAGTACCCCCCCAAAACTTTCCAACTGCCGGCTTCCCTTTAACAAGGATTGCCCACTTGGATCGAGGCGGCCATGCCTTTCAAGTCGCAAAGAGTCCCTCAGACCTCAGTGCTGCCCACAGACTTTTTTTGTGCCCAAGAGGCCATCCACCTGGCTGCTCCTCGGCCCGCACGTGGGACCCAAATCTGCGTACAGACCAGCCCGGATTCTTGCTCCTGAAGCAGGGCCTTCAGCTTGCCGGTGATGCATCCTTCACGCCTCCATGAAAATGTCGTCGCTCGTCTATTCGCAAGTAGTGCACAGAAGTCGTGTTTGTGATGCTGCCAGAAAGCCAAAGGAAAAACCAAACTGGCATGTGTCTGTTTCCAATTCCTCTAGATCCGGTTAGGGGCACCAAATGGAAATGGATCAGTGCCTCACTTTCCCTTCTTTGCATTGGGCAAGTCTTCGGCTTCTTTGGAACCTTGGGGCTCGATCTCTGCTTGACAAGCTTCACCCCAAAGCTACGCGAATTCGGGGGATCGTCCCCAAAACCTGGTCCTGCGCCCTCTAACTTGTGACACCCCCATTTTGGATCAAAGCTTTACTGACTTCCGTCCAACCAAGTCCAAACTGACAGTTTACCACTTTTATGGTCTAGTGAATCGGGGAGTGAACCAAAGAAAACATGGGGGCACATCGTTTCATGGTCCTGGCGGGTTGAATAGGGGTTATCCCGGAATGGGAGTAGTAAAAACCCCACCCTCTCAAATGGAGTCCGCATGTAAATGATGTCCAAAGGCTTCATAAAACTCATACCCTGCATTCCCGTGCTTGGTTTGCTTTTGGCATTGTTGACTCCCTTTCTCACATGAGCAGAGTTTCTTTTTGCTAAGCATTCGCTCAGTATTCGAGGGGAACTCTTTTTTTTGTTGCGGAGGCACCGCGGCATTCGGCAATTCTGGTCCAATTCCAGAACCGGCGGCTTGCCTTTCACGGTTTCCGCCAAAACCTCCGACGCATCTTGCGGGCTTTCCTCCGGCTCCGGCGTCGCGGGCTCCGGCAGAAACCGCGGCTTCTCGGGCGCTCCGGCATCAGGCCTGGCCGTGGGAATCAAATGGGGTCTTCCCAAATTGGGAACACCCACGCAACACCAAGAACCAGATCCTCCAGATTTGAGAGGTTAGAATAAGGGTGCCCGATTTTTTTTCTGTAGTCGATTTTTTTCTAGGGGAACCCTCCCCCAAAAAAGGGGTGAGAAAGGGCACCTAGCTGGGGGCCCTAGCAACAAGAAGAACCCCCTTTTTGTGGGGTCCTTTGGGCATCTTCCTTTGGGGGACCCCTTTTGTTCGAGGTGAACTTGCGGAGCTGGCCCGTGTCTGCTGCTTGCCGCTCTGGTTTTCCTGAATTTGCGCTGTGCAGCAGCCACCACCTCCCCATTTTTTATATATATTGTTTCCCATGTCCCAAAATCCCAAGCACCCTCCCACCAATCAACATGGAACCTGGCGTGTCCTGGAAGACCATTTTAAAGGGCACGGGTCGCGGACGTCAGGTTCCATGTTAATTGGCGGCAGGGTCCTGTTGGAGGAAGGTGATGCTTAAAACGAAAGCGTCTGCCCAACATCGTTGGCTCAGTGTCAATGAACCCTCTGGCTTCTGTTGGGTTGCCAATTGTAGCTATTTGCTTGTAATTTGCGTGTTGGTTCAAGGTTGGCTTAGGGGATGGCAAACCAACCAATCTTAACGGGTATGGCAAACGAACTCAAACAGTAATCAATCTTGACATTTTTTTAGCATGTTGACTGCAATGGACCTGGATCCAGGACTACCTACAAAAGCCAGCCCCACCCCACCCCCCATAGCCCCCAAAAACACACACAAAAGGGCAATGGCCTTGGAATACTCCGAACAGAGTCGATGATGAGTTTGATCCAAGACTGGTGAATCGGTAGATCCGCGCTGGTTTCTCACATGACTCACCAGACAAGCTGGACACCCTGCGTAAGATCTGCCCACTAAAAGCTGCACACGTGCCCACAAAAAGTACTGCCTAATTAATACACTGCTGATCCCGGAGTGATATGCTGTGATCGCTGGGGTGTTATGACTGGTCCTCCAGTAAAAAGGTTAGAATAAGGGTACCAACTTTTTCTGTAGTCTATTTTAGTAGGGGAACCTCCCGCAAAAAAGGGTGAGAAAGGGCACTACTGGGGGACCTAGACGAGCTAAAGAGCGCAACGCCCGCCTAAGCGCTCGAACCTGGATCTGGGGCTGCTGGGGGAGGGAGCTGAAGAAGCCTGCGAACCCGTCGAGTCTCCAGTGGGAGAATTCACTGGACAAAAAGCCCCTGGCTTCATGGGCAAGCTGGTCTTGCCCGGTGAGTTCGGTATTAATGAAAATTGCCCACCTCGTGAGTGGCAATGTTGGAATAAGGAGGAACATGGGGCCCCTATCAAAATCGAGTTGCAGCCATATTCACCTCCGACTCACCAATCCGTATCGAAATGCTCCAAAGACTCACTTAAGCGGATTGGCCAAACCAGTCGAAACTGTTCGCTTGCCGCCAAAATGGTTTTCCCCACTGGAGCTGAGTGAGTGAGAAGCTAGGAGATCCATGTTCTCTTTGCAGAGACACTGTGACCTGAAACAACTGTTTCGGTATCACGAAGAAACTTATGATCTTTGCGTCCTGTGATGGCTTCCGCTTTCCTCTCCTTTTTTTTGCATTTAAGTACTTGCGAGATGGGCTTCTGAATCGTTGCATTCTCTCAACGTTGACAAAGCTGGCAAGCGCGTGACACTGGAAACAGAGAGACGTGCAAAGCTGCGCGCTTGAGATCACCTTCCAGCTGGCGCATTCCATTGAGCAGTGACCAGGAAAAAAAGGGCACATCAAACCCTCTACTATCAAACCGCTCCATTACAACTCCCTTCCTCTGTGCCTTCGCTCAACTGAAGCGGCGGCTCCAAGCTCCATGACTTGTGATGCCCGAGGTGGACCGCGCCTTACCCAGTTCCTAGGGACACCTGAAACACATCCAGCACTGCCCGGGTTGTAACACGCCGGAGTGACCTTTGGGGCACGGTCCCTTAAGGAAAAGGGTCCAAGTCAGGTTCCGGCGGCTACTTGGTGGGAGCAGTACTTGGGATTTTGGACATGGGAAAAAAGCATTGCTGGGGGGTGCTGGTTGTTGCTGGAAAGCGAAGATTCAGGAAAACTGAAGTGGCAAAAAGTGAACACAGGCAAGCTCCCCCACAATTTCCCCCCTCGAACCCGGCAAAAGGGGTTCCCGAAAGGACGGTGCCTAGGTTCCACAGGGCTCCCTTTCTTCTTTCCAAGTCTCCCCAAAAAACTCATCCAAAGGAGGCATTTCCAAAGGTGATGTTGCCGGCCGAAAAGAGAGAATATTGGGTCAAAAATAGGTCCCCAAAATGGCTTGACCTGGTAAATGGAAAGGACTACAACCTGCCGTCCGTATCCTGGTGGTTTAATTTGGACCCACACCCATATGGCTGTTTTTCTTTTTTGAGGGACCCTCTGGTGGACATCATTTAGGTGGGGATTTTTGTCCACCAACCATTTGGGAGGCGAGTCCTCATTAAACATTCAGGGCGATATCGAGACGGATGAGGCTCCGCCTGATTGGCTGAGTGTCTTCAAGGAAATGGCCTCGGCGAAACGATGTCTGTTGTGCGAACCCCGAACCAGCGATCTCGGCTTATCTACCGAACTTGCTGCCAAACTTGCTTATCTGCCAAACTTGCTACTCTGACCAATCTACGTTTTAATTTCTCTACCAAACTGGCTTTGAGAAGATGCTCTTTATGAAAGTTTACATTGCAATGGAGGCCGACACCAGAAACTGTGAACTAAAGCTTTCCACAATAGAGGACCCCTAAAAAAGCCACAGGATCCTGAATTACAAAAACAATCTGAATTACAAAAACAATCAACAATATAGGGTGCTATTCCTAAAGGAGGTCCAACATTTCTGTTCTCCAAGAACTACAATCTGGCAATGAAAAAAGAGGGTAGCCTTAAAACACACACCCACATGCATACTCATTCTTTACGTCTGACTGTTTGCACTTTCAAGGAAACTCACATCGACTTGCGGTGACGGTCAGATCAGGACATCACAATCGGCAACAAAAGCTGCTGCGGCTCTGAAGTAAAATGGGGATTGACAATGGGACAAACCCTGATATAAATGACAGTCACCAAAGGGTTGCAAGTATTGCAGTTTCATAACACACACACACACACTGTTTTGGGGACCACCCCGCTGTTGCCATACATATAACCATGGCTGTAACCAATACTTTTGCCACAGGCCCCAGTTTGACCATCAGACTAACTAAAACATTCGTTAGAGGGATGCGTCTTGAAGGGGATCTAATGGATCTGTCTCTTCTTGGGGTTGCTTTAAAAGGGAAACTTAAAGGAGAAGTTGGGGGCTACCCAGCTGCTTGTGGACATCCACGCCTTGATCCATCCACATTTGGCCATCCATGATGGGCATCCGCACACCCACCGTGTTGGGTGACGGAAACCAAAGCAGCACAAACCCACCATCTTGGGGGGGCTCTTTCAAAAGGAAAAAGGGAAACCCGCACCTTGTTTTTCTTTGAGGGTGGGTGGGTGGCAACCCATTTTTCAGCCACACCACGCCCCAACCGTCCGCCCGGATCTTCCCCCGCTTCCGCCGGATCAGGGGGGGTCTTCTTGCCACCTCTTCTGAGAAAAGTTTGGGCGACCCCCTCAAAAAGGAAAATCCTTCACCACCAGGATTGGGTCGACCATTTCTCCCCCAGAAACTGGCGCAAAAAAAAAGAAGACGCCCGCTAGATCTACGACGCCCCCCCGCTTCCAATCCGGATCCGCTCGCCCCCCCACATCCGATCCGGATCCGCTCAAGCGGATCTGGGGCCAGCGGCGGCCCCGAGCAGCGCCAAGAAGGCCACGAAGGCCATGGCCCACCAGCTCCAGCTGCTCCGCGAGCGCGCGCGCACGGCCATGGCGGTTTTCTGGAGGCCTCGGAGCGCTCGGCTCGGAGCTCGGAGCGGCTCGGAGCGGCTCGGAGGGGTTTAGTGGGGGTGGGTCTTGGTTTCTGTTGACCCCTCTGCACAAAAAGTGAATCACGTTTTGTGGGTTTAGTGGAAAACCCAGCTTGATTTCAACCAAAAAGTTAAAGTCTAGAGATCCAACCCAATAGCAGTTAAGGGGGTTGCTGGGGCGGGTTGGGGGTGTGGTGGGGGTGGGGTGGGGTTTGGAAGCAAAAGGATCCTGCAATTTGAGCCATCCGATTTGTTTGGGGGGATGGGAGGTGTGAGGAAATCGTCCGATGGCAAGCGGTGTTGGTTTGGTCTGCAGGATCTGCGAATTTTGCCCTGAATCTTGAATAAAGGATGTCCAAAATGTAGGGATCCCCAAGCAAAGGATCTTGACCATGGTGAGCTTGTTTTGAGCCCGTCAGAAACGCAGCACTTTTTCCAAACGCCCAACGACCCATCCAATCTCTGAAAGGTAGGGATGGGTGCATGAGCAAGGGTCGGCACTTGCACTCTTGGAAACTCGGCGCATGTACCAGAGTCAACACGTGCTATGATGGACTTGAGAAAATTGTTTCTTCATTTGCTTTCGGTTCGTGGGTGCTGGGGTTGAAATTCAAGAGTCTCCCATGATGCCCCCAGGTACCTCCGAAATGTTGACCGAACCTCACAATACAGCGACACCAATAGGGACGATGCGGGCGTCTTCAAGCATGAAACGGGGACGCAGCGACTGTTTCTCGTGTTTCAAGAATTAGTTTTCCTTTTGGGCCATCCCGAAAGTAAACAAAGCGAAAGGAAGCCAAGACCCAAGCCACGCCCCTTCAGCCAGACGCCCTTCGCCCGGGGACTTTTTTGAAGGGAACGCGGTGGGAAACTTTCGGGTGTTTTCTCGGCCGCTTTCTGCTCCCCTGCTAAAAGTTTAGCTTTTAGTAGTTTAACGGAAAACCCATTGGTTGGGTAAAAGTTAAAGTCCTAACATCCAAGCAAAATGCACCAAAGTTTTGGTGCCGTCCCGGGAATGTTGTTACTTTCGTGCCCGGCCTTGGATGATGAAACCGAAACTGCTGCACTGCAACCCATACAATAAAAAGGACATGTGAGCCGTGGTCACTCACATGGAATCGGAATGGTGAGTACCCTGCCATGTCACAATGGCATTTTGGTGAGAGTGCCACCTGTCATCCCCACTACTCCCTTAGATGGAACATATTCAGTGTTGCTCATATACCGAACAAAATCATGCCTGCATTCAGTGCTCTTTCTGCGAACCGTGTATATCTTTGAATAAAGGCGTTCCCCTCTCACCCGACGACATGGAACTTGACAGGGTCCTGTAAACGTGAATGATCAACCAGAAGCCTTCAACCAGTGGGGAAGTTGTGGACGCAACGACTCTGAATGTTTGGCCAAACAATTGTCCATTCCCCTTCCAAAAAATGTAAATGTCAACTACTCTGAATTTTCTGAGTCTTTGGCCAGGTTCCCCCCCATTCCCCTCCAAACAAAATGTCAACGACTCTCAATTTTCTGAATCTTTGGCCAGGTTCCATTCCCCTCCAAACAAAATGTCAACAACTCTGAATGTTCAGAGTCTTTGGCCAGGTTCCCCCCCATTCCCCTCCAAACAAAATGTCAACGACTCTGAAGTTTCTGAAAAATGGGCCGAGCCGCCATGCGCTAATGCGCTAGCGCATGACCCGAAGCAAAGGCCCCTGGTGATTGCCTAGGCCATTTCTGGCAGTAGGCAAATGATACCACCAGCTTCTGCATAACCTAGACCTAAATGTTCGAATATGTTCGAACTGCAGCGGCTGCAGGCGCAAAGAATGTCCGTGCCAATCCACCCACCTCCATCCCTGAGTTGGCCACCAACCACACATTGATTTAGACGCCCTGCTTCGATGTCTCACGTGGATGTTGGCACGTTGATGGCACTTGGGCACTTGTTTTTCCCCGCTACGAAATTCAAGCTATTCCGCGCGCAGCCGAGCCAGAAGCGGCGAAGCAAAAGGCGAGTCACTGGACGGAATCAGAAGGCCTCACAGTTTGAGTCTGGCCCTTCCAAATCTGGGCTGTCCGTTTTCAGATCGGTGTCCTTTTATGGGAAATAGATGGCCCTGGTCCTGGTAGATGATTAAACCACCAGGTAAACCAGGGCCATCTATTTTTCTAGCAAACAACCAAACAGGACACCCATGCATGTGCTAAATGCTTACCGTTTAGCGGGTCAAATGGAAACTACCACTAAGCCGTAAAAAGCCAAACAAGTTAAATGGGAACCACCCAGACAACGCCAAACCACAGCATTATTGGGTTCGCGTTCATTGCCCATGGAATCGGACATATCTACGCACAGGAAACACCCATATGTAGAGCTGAGAGTAGTTGAAGCGACGAATCCACCACAACCACCGCGCGAAGCATCGCAAATTGCATCCCTACGGCACCAAATTGGACGCGCTTTTTGGGTTCCCAGCCGGGTCGCGAAGGCGCCCCGGTGATTCGAATCACACGCTCCGGTGCCGTGCCGCGGTGATACCGCGGAGCCGATTCCGAGGGGCCCCGGGCGGACATCTGCCGGAGGCTTGGGGGTTGAAACAAACTGCACCCGGCCCCGTGTCACCGTCGACTGGATGAGCTCGGCCTTTTTTTTTCCTTTCGATTGGGGCTCTCCCGTTGTTTTTTTCTTCTTTTTTTATTTTTTTCCCGGGAACACTGCTCCAGTGTTGAATTGCTTCTCCGGCAAATGCTCTGGCGCTCCTTCCACCATGTGGAGCTGGCGCAAACAAAATGAGGCGGACCACTGTTGGTCTCGGCAAGGAACCGTCATGGAACTGGCTTGATCCAAACGCAATCAGGTTCATCTGGAGGACCACCAGGTCCTCCAGTAGAGAGGTTAGAATAAGGGTACCCTATTTTTTCTGTAGTCTATTTTAGTAGCGGAACCCTCCCCGAAAAAGAAACGATAAAAGGGCACTACTGGGGGACCTCAAAGGAATCACCTTGATACCAACCATAGAACCATATAAAAGGGGAACTGCTCTCCACCCAGGGACGGCAATACCAATCAAAACGTGTTGGCGGGGGGGGGTTGTTACTTGGGCCGAAATGTGGGGAGATCAGGTGCAAGGCTTCCACGTGCTCCGCCCTTTGCTTCCGTTTCAAAACCTGTTGCTTTCTGCTCCCCTGCTAAAAGTTTCACTTTAGTCTTTAGTTTAATGGAAAACCCATTGGTTGGCAAACAGTTAAAGTCCTAACATCCCAGCAAAATGCACCAAAGGTGTGGCAACATACCGATGCGGCTTCGTGTCGGTCCGCACAAACTGTTCGTAGTGTTTTTTCTTAGCCAGTAGCTGCCGGTTGGTTCCCTTAGAATTGTAACCATGACAACAACTGCATTGAAAACCGTGAAAGAAACATCCATCTGCAAGTTCTACAATAAGTTCAAAGCCGGAAAATAGGCATCACCAGATACAGGACATCGTCGTAAACTGGGCAGATCCATGCAGAGAGGATACGTTGAAAGCGGTTGGCCGCATAGCAGAGCTTCAAGTGTGTGGCGCTTCCTCGCACGCCTCTCAAAATCTGTCAGCCTCAAGCTGAAAAACATGCACCATCGAATTTACCCAAGGTCAATGTTCAAAACCCGGGCAATCAAGTCTTTTCGACCATGCCAGTACACTGGTGGTTTGGATTAAAATTACCCATTCCAAACCACCAATCCAAACCAGCAACTAAGGGTAACCTGAGTACAGGGCAAACATGTAAGATGTCACCCTTCGGACAAACACATACCTCGACTCCCTGCTCACCATTTCCTTGGACCAGCTGAAAGAAGTTCTGACGTGTGTCAACTTCGAGCTACCCCCACATGTCGGTTTTGGGTTTCCCTGTTCACGTACCTGAAAAGGGTAGCAGTTGCACTGTGATCGAAGGGACGCCTCCAAAAAGCACGAGCTTCACTTTGGCAAACATTTGAGATGGAAACTGCAGTAAGTCAAAGGACAGCCACAAGTTTGGGGGAGCCGCAAATTATTCCATTGTTGCAGTTTTATATCAGATTACGAGGGGTACAATCCTCAAATAATCCTCCATATCGATTTGGGGATCCTTTGTTTTGTTGTTCTGACGCTTCCAAAGTTACACGCTGTGGAAAAAAAAAGAAAAAGGAAAAAACAAGAAGAAAACAAACCGGGGAAAAAACAAAAACTGCTGGAGCCCAAGATGGTTGTAAGGCGGCCAGTCTATGCGTGTCCAAACACGGACGAGCGCTCGTACAATGAGTTGCAGATTTAATGTGTGATCCATATCAAACTATGAGGGGTACAATCCTCAATTCATCCTCCATGTTCGATTTGGGGGCTCCTTTTTTGGGTTGCCCATTTGCCTGAGTCCCCTGGAAAAAATAAATCATATTTCCAGTAGTTGTAGATTCCCTTTAAAACCAACAGGGGAAAATAAAAAAAATGTCCGCTTCAGCAAATGGAAGTTGCGAGGGCCTCAAACGTTGACCTATGGCCACGCTCCAGCCGAGCCCAGGCGAGTTCGCCTTCGCCGCATCCGTGCCGAAGCGGCCGGGGCCTTCCTGACGCAAGCCGAAAGCCGCGGCCGAAGGACCAAAGCAGCTTTTCTCCGAGGTCGGGCGAAGAAACGACGGACAGAAATCACGTCAACCGTGGGAGCGGCATAGTTTGACGGCTCGCTCAAGAATGAATCAAAAAAAATGGAGACGCACGAAGAGGGCCGCTCCGAGCGGAGCCAACTGGAGTTCCGAAGCTTCATCTACCTGGAGTCTCCTTCTGACCCCTAGCAAAAGGGGTACATGACCCCTTTATTTTGGGTGATGACCCCATGCTTAAAGGGTGGAAGGGGAGCAAACATTGAAAAATAGCAGTTCAGTGGATTTGGATTTCAACCACTCAACCACAATAAGCAAAGATGTAAAATGTTTCCCAACAACAGCCCCAACGTTGACGGGCAAACAAACAACACAAAGAAAACACATAAACAAGCAAAACCAAGTGAGCAAGCACGCACGCATGCACGCAGGAAACAAACAAACAAACAAACAAACAAACAAACAAACAAACAAACAAATTAGCAAGCACGCAAGCGAGCAAGTAAGCAAGCCAACAAACAAACAATCAAGCGAACAAGCGAATACACGAACGAACGAGCAAAACCAGCCACGGCCACACCAAAAGGTGTGGGGCAGGCCTGTACGAACCTTCCACCTGGCCAGCTCCCCTGTTTGGAACGAAGAACTCCTATGAAAACATGGAAGCAAGCTCGCTACTAAATGCCTTGGTTTTGGCCCTTGACATGCGACCGGCCACGACCCCGGAACAAAGACGCCCCCATGCAGCCTTGTTTATTTGAGTCAAATGGAAGAAGCGTGAACATCCCAATCCCCACTAAAATAGGTTCTAAAATGGGTGGTGCACCTACCCCAAAATGGTACCATTGGTTTTGACCCACAGCCATGTGGCTAGCTGGCCAGAAGAAGAAAAAAAAGTGTCCAAAACTGGGGGTACCCCATCCTACATATGTCAGCAGTCAATGACCAACCTAAGGCTTGTGCTTGAACCGGATCAAGTGAAGTTGCAAAAGCCACCAAAAACAGCCAAAAGAAACACTAAAAGCCGCAACGGCCCAAACAGCAATCCAAACACAAAACCTCCATGTTCAACCTGTCAACACCAGCCATGCTTTTACAAGACCAGCTCACCCCTCAAAAGAGTCCCGAACCTCGGAGTTTTGCAAAACACTACGGCAATGGCTTAGAAAACTGAAAGTGCCATACATTTCGACCAAACTGACCCAATACCAAGCTCAAGCTGACGTATGCTACTGACTGGTACCGTGGATGGACAGAATCCTGCACCAGCTGCGGAGGATGAAACCTTACGAATACTGTACTGGGTTAAACCGCCTGTCTTGGGTTTTGTCACTACTGTGGACGGTTGCGGAATCCATTTCGCACCACCTAAGAAACCTTGGAATGATTCGATTCCCTTGTAAATACCAACAAACATGGGTTCCTCTGGTTTCTGAAATGGATTTCGCAACCATCCACAGTACGACCCCAAACCCCAACGACTAGCTTTCAGCGGGACCCCCGCTAAAAGGTTTTGATGTTTTGGAGGGTGACATGGAAACCCAGCCACCCAAACCCTCAAAAAACGCAAAAAAAGAAAAAAAGAAAAAGCTTTTTGGACGCGGATGGCTGGGAGCCACCAGCTGACAGGACCCCCTTTATCGCGGGCGTTGCCCCCGAAAACCTTCGCGCAGTCTTTGCCCCCGGCCTCCGGGAGGCATCCGACGCCTGCGCGGCCCCCAATTGGGCCAAGGGCCACGTACCAACTACCTGGAGCCTCCATGACCCTTGAAAAATGGGGGTCAGTACCCAAAATTAAGGGGTTATGACCCCGTTTTCTGGGCGTCGTGGAGACTCTAGGTATCTCCAAGCCCCTGGAGAAAAAGCACATCTCCTTCTCTGCTGTTTGTTCTCTGTCTTTTTCCCGACCTCAAGAAAATCGCTGAAGACGTCTTGCCCGTGTTCCTTATGCACGGAACAGGTTAGATTTCAAGCAAGGATACCTGAAAGTGAGGCCTCTGGATCTAAGCACCTCATTTAATGGGTTGATTGAAGTAAAAAAAAAAAATGACACAATTTGATTTGGTTTGCGCTTTTTCGAGGCCCGGTACTTTTTTCCGGGTTGATTCAGGAAACCAAGAGGAAAACCCCAGTT